AAGATATATATTAGAATATCTTTGTAATCTGGAGTGTGAAGAAACTTTAAAAATGCAACAGTAAAATGCTAAAATACAACAAAAAGATGACATTTAAAATATTTAAATTTGATTACATTAAATTTAAAAACTAGAAAAGACAGCATAAAGGAAATGAAAGCGTAGACTGACTTGGAAAAAGATTGTATAATTCAGAACACATAAAGGGTCAGTAAGAAAAAGATAAGCCAGTAAAAGCATGAATAAAGGAGGTAAACAGACATTTCACAAAAGGAGAAACATGAATACAAAGTGAAATGTAATTTAGGTGCACAATGTGATGTCATTTTACAGCCATCTGGTCAGTAAAAATTAGAACTTGACAATTCTAGGCCTTGTCATGAATGTGCATGAGGGGAAGTCACATTGATTAAGGGAGTATGAGTTGATACTAATATCTTTGCATTTTCTTAAAAAGTTGAACATTCTCATGCCCTATCTTTTTTTTTTTTTAATTAAAAAAATATTTATTTGAAAGAGTTACAGAGAGAAAGAAGTTTTCCCTCTACTGGTTCATTCCCCAGATGGCTGCAACGGCCTGGCAGAAGCCAGGAGCAAGGAAGCAGGAGCTTCTTCCTGGTCTCCCATGTGGTGCAGGGGCCCAAGCAGTTGGGCCATCTTCTACTGCTTTCCCAGGCAATCAACAAATAGCTGGATTGGAAGTGGAGCAGCTGGGACTCCAACAAAGGCGCGTGCCACAGGACTTTAACCTGCTGCGCCACAGCGGCGGCCCCTCTCATGCTTAGTCAGGAGGCGGGCACGGGAGCAGAAGCAGAGAATCTGGAACAGTTTAAGTGCTTGAGTTTGTGCTTCAGAGGGTATTCCAAGGAAGCTCATCTGGCCGCATTGTACTCAGAGGGGGCCAGGCCACCATAGCAAGGAAAGCTGCGAGAAAGCAGTCTGAGTCAGGCTGTAGGACACACAGCGGTGAAGACGTGTGGTGCCTGCGCAGGAAGGGCCCTCTCACCCCACCTTTCTACATCCTAGCCACAACCCAAACCCTTGATTTAAAAGCCCCGGCAGAGTGCCTGGAGGAGGCAGTTCCTTCAGGGGACTATACCTTCCGTGACTTGTCACGAGTAAATAAAGCTTTCCTCTGAGCAGCTCTTGCTTGAGACTGAGTATTAGGTGACACTCGAGTGGATCAACCCTTTGTGTCCACTAACACTGTGACATACTAATTAGACTCTAATTAGATACTAATTCTACTACTTTAAACATATACATTGATATATATCTTTGGGAAACTCCTTTTTTTGGTTAAGATTTATTTATTTATTGGAATTCAGAGTTATAGAGAGAGAGGGAGGTGGCTGCAACAGCTGGGACTGGACCAGGCCAAAGCTAGGAGCTGGGATCTTCATGCAGGTCACCAACAAGGGTAGCAGGGGCCCAAGTACTTGGACCGTCTTTTGCTGCCTTTCCCAGGCCATGCTCAGGGAGCTAGATAGGAAGTGGAGGAGCTGGACCTTGAACCGATGCCTGTTTTGGTTGCTGGCATTGTAGGCTGAGGCTTTACTCATTATGCCACAATCCTGGCCCTGAGAAACTCCTATGCGAGATAATGAGTACAGACCATTCACAGTACAATATTTCATAAGAACAAAAAGTTGGGAAAATAATTCCTAAAATTGACAGAACCATATTTTAAAACTTGTGTATTCAAATATTGAGATATTATAGAACTTTGTGAATGAATAGAATATCACTGCACACATCAATATTCATGAATTTTTAAAATCTCCTTTGAAAAAAAGCAGATTGCAGCAGATTAAGTTATACAACAAGGAAAATCTATTGTTTACTTGCTATTTATGTGATAAAACAATGTAAAAATGCATGAGAATGATAATACAACATTTAGAATAGTGATTATCTGTGAGACGGATTCAGAGGAGTGGAAATGAGAGAGAAGCATACAGGAAGAAGTAACATTGACAATGTTTTGGGATAGTCCCTGTTATGGGTTGAATTGTCTTTCCCCAAAAAGATGTGAGAGTGAAGGCCTAAGTTGGAGTGAGGCCCAAAATGGACAGCAAATCACCAGAAGCTAAGCAGGAGCCATGGCACGGAGGCTTCTTCACAACTCTCAAAAGGAACCAAGCCTCCTGCACTCTGGTTTCTGACTCCTAACCCCCAAAGGTTTAAGTTAGTAAGTTTCCATGGTTTAAATTGCATGGTGTGTGGTGCTTTCTTACAGAAGTCCTAGCAAACTAATACAGTTCTTAAATTGGGGAGTAGATTCATGGGTGTTTGTTTTATACTTCATGACTTAGAAATGTGTTTCATATATTAATTTTTATGAATCAGAGAGTTACTTAATAGAAAATAAAAGAGCAAAAACCATTATTTTCATCCCAACTGGGTTGTGTTTCTACTGATAACCTTAACCACAAATTCTAAAATTTTCTTGGTAGTCTTATATCAAGAACTATATAACAATAACAATAAACCGTAAGCTAGTAAAACTACAACAATTAACTTCCATTTTTATGGCTTTTGTGGAGTTGTTATCCCAACATCAGTGTCATTGAGTCCCTATTGCTGTTACTTTAATTACAATGTGTGCATCTCCTGAATAAATCCTAATTCTGAATGAAGGTGATTGCCAAACACACAGCTGTCATGAAATGCAAAGGGAATTCCGGATATCCACAACCGTTTCAGTTTGGGGCATGCATGCCATAAAAATATTTGTCTGCAGGTAAATGTTATAATGGAAAGGCTGTGCGCTGATTTTAAAAAGGGCACCAAAATAAATTTACCTTTTAATTGCATTTCTCCAAGAATGTTTTGAAACACCCTAGCATTTTTCTAGCTAAGGAGCTACACCAGGACAGGAGCTTGTACGTTTTGTTCACACAGTTGTATCTCTGTATCTTGGGAACAGTGCCTGGTAAATAGTAGGTGCTCAGTGAATCTGCTGAATGAATGCGTAAATGAATAGTTTTATTGGAGTTTCCCCTTCTTAGAAAAAGAAATGCAATTGTACTGCTCTTCAGAAGGGTGTAATAGACACTCCCTGCCCCCACTTCTCACTGCTTTTTGATCTGTTAGTTTCTCTCTTCTACTGTTCACCAGTTTTTCCTCCTTATATAAGCTCTAAAGGACTATCTTTGGGGACTTGGAAAAGGCCAGCCAGCCAGACACAGACACACATTTTTTTAAAGTTAATTCGTTCTTTATTCTTCCTTACAGATGACCAGCTTGCATGATTAATAATAATATGTTCTTTATCTTGAGGAGGACAGGTATAGGTGTTTTGGAATTTTAATTAATGCTTGGATGAAATGTGTCTTGATTAAGGAATGAATTTTAAAAGATGAATTCTAACACATGCAAAGTAGATTTTTTTTAAAAAAAGTGGAATTTATGTAGAACTTTTGAAAAAGAAAAAAATAAAATATTGTTTCGAATATATTACAGGAGGAATGTTACAATTTGACATTCCATTAATGAGGACCCCCTCCCCCCAAACCCAGTAGCTCAAGCAGCTGCTGTTGTTAAGATGCTCCAGTGAGTGCCTGAGAGTTTTCAAGATCCCGAACTTCAGTGCTGGAAATGCTGACTGAGCATTTAGTAAACCACACAGCAGTCGGTGAGTGGCCAGGCACTGTCCTAGGTGCCGGAAAGAGATGAACAAGACCTTCGCAAGAAGTCATTTCTTGGGGGAGACCTAAGGAAGTTGACAACTGCAGTGCAATGCGGTTAAGTGCTATTAATCATTAAAGGAAAGAGTAGTGCTCTGTGTAATTCACATGGTCAGTGCCGCTTATTACATTCCTGGGGGGAGGGGGGACTGGCATCCAGGTACAGTGTTTGTCCCATAACCAAAATAATTGATGAACCAAAATGTTGAATTTCCTGACCACACCTGAATCAAAGTTTACTTTGCAAATGACAGCCTTATCACTTTGGAAACAGCATCTGCCACATGGAAAAACTGCATAGTCATTCTTTTCCTCAGTTAATGGATAATTTATTTTATCTCACGATTGCATTTTATGCACCTTTCCAATTTCTAGGAATGTAGAGGTCCTTTCTGATTCTAGAATGCAGAAATGGGGTTTAGTTTTCTGTAGTACTGGTTTATTACTTAGGTGGTGGCAACATTTTGCTATAATAAAGAGAGAGAGAGAGAGAGAGAGAGAGAGCCAGTAATAGATTCATGCGTATTTAAGTGCAAAAGGGAGACACGATGAACAGATATGAAAGAAAGTATTACTAGCAAAATAAAAAAAGAAAGCAATTCTAACATAAAGGTGGCTGGAAAAATAATTTCTAATGAAAAAGTAAGAGTTTATCATAAAATGATCTCCACACAGTCTGCCCCCTGCATATCTCTTTGGGCATATGAGTCTCTAGAAATTCTGTCACCAACAGACACCAAGAGCTTTCATAATCACTGAAACGTCTTCATTCCTTGTCTGCAGGTGTTATACCTGCATCCCTTCTTCTCTTCTCTTCTCACGTTCCGGAAAGCTGCAAACAAAACAACAAACAAATCGGTCCTGTCCTCTAAGGCGAACTCGAGAGCTATGAGTGTTTCTATCGACAGCACTTGGTCTGCAATACCTGTCTTTAACTCCCTGCGGATGTCCTCCATGAAGCCCTCCGTGAAACACACCAGCTCTTTCGCTGGTTTAGGTATCCTTTTCCAGCAGGACTAGGAGTGAATGAATCCAAGGATGCAAATTTCAATCAAACATCCGCTCACCCGTTAAGGTCTCTCCACTGCTCTTTCGCGCTCAGAGACAGCCCCTTGCACTTGAAACCGAGTTTAAAACAAACTTTCCCTAGCTGGCCTGGCTGCTGAGGGCACTGTTGCTGAGGGAGTGCCCGGAGCATCCGAGCGCTGTGCCCTCCGGTCTCTCGGTCCGGCTCCGGGACCAGTGAAAAAGGGGGCGGAGAGGAGAGAGAAGAGGAAGGGGCGGAGGTCACCCGCGCCCTCCACTCCGCCCAGGCTGGAGCGCCGCTAGGTACAGAGCGGTCGGAGCTGCGGAGCACTCCCGGCAGGTTCCGCGCTGGGGGAGCGAGCGCTGCGGCACCAGCGGGAGAGGCGAGCCGGAGCCCTAGCAGCGGCGCTGCGCTGCACCCGGGGGGAGCTGCGGCGGCAGCGGCAGCGGCGGCGGCGGCGCGGGGCCGGGTGCGCCATGGCGCACCGAGCGACGGGCTCCTCTGCTCAGCAGGCGGCCCGGGATGTCCAGGTAACCACCTTCCCAGGGGCAGGATTCCCACGCGTCAGCCCCCGGATGCTCAACCAGATCCGGGGTTAACCCACCCACCCGCGGGACGGATAATTGCAGCCGGCGGCCCTGGGCAACAAGTTTGGAGCGGCTTCCCACGCTGGTGGGATAGATCCATAGGAGGGGAAGGGCGCTCGGGCTGAGCTGTCCGGATCCCGCGCTGCGCAGTTGAGGGCTGGGGATGAAGAGTCTCAGAGGAGGGAAACAGGCACAGACTGTGAGAGGTGCCCGTATCCTTTTCCTTCTGGTAGTGGCCTGCGGGCGACACTCTCGGACGAGGGCCCGCACAGGCCTTGGGCGCCCCCCAGGGTGGAGGGAGAACAACCCTCTGGCGTTTGAGCAATTGCAGAAAGTTTGGGCAAGTTAATAGGCTTGGAGAGGATGTTGCAAGCAGAGGCCTGGGGGCAACAGGGGTAGTAACTGGCGAAAGTCAATCTGTGAGTAAGACCTGGAGGCAGCGGCCGCCCTGGAGGCAGCACAGGCGGCCAGTCCCAGAAAGGCTGGCTCCGGAATTCCCAGCCTCCCGGAAAGCGGCTCGGGAAAACGCCAATCGAATTAGCTCGGGCGGGGTGGCTGTGGTCGCGTGTATCGAGTGTCTGTGACTCAGGCCTCAACCCCTGCGGAGAGAGCGACACAGAAATACTTAGCACTGGATCTTGCTACTTTGGAGCTGTGAAAGGAACAGCGCGTGGGTAGATGTTCACAGAATGAGCGCGACCGGCCTCTTCTCGTCGCCTGCTGGCCTTTCTGCACAGGTGGTAGCTGCACCTTGGCAGCAACTCACCCCCCCCCGGTCTCCCAAGGGTCCGTGCGCGGGTGATTTGCTGTTACTGGAGGTTTTAAAAGCGTGTTCAGAAAAGCACCATTTAACACCAGGGAGCTTAATGGTCCCCCTCCCAAAGTTTGGAAAAGGTTGTTTTGTCTGCCTGACCAACAGGTGCAACAATCTGCAGCCCGGGACCACGCCCATCACATTAGAGGAAGCAGCAGAAACTTAAAAAGGTCATTGGATTACCTAAAAGCATCATTATGCTTTAACAATCCTTACTGGCTAAGAATCTAACCTTGTTAGTGAGTCTGCAAACCTTAAAAGTTTCAAGGTCTCCGTGGTGTCAGGACATTTAGGGGGTGCCTATTTGCAGAGGGGCCACAAAGGTTAACCAGGAGGTCTCCAATCCGGCAGTTTCTTTACCTTGAAAATGAAACGTGGAACCGCAGGCAGTTGGGTGCTGCCTTCAGTATGATGCAACCTTGCTTGTGATAGGCTGGATCCATCCAACCCCACCACAGGATACTGGGGCACTTCAGCCTTAAATGTCAGATGAGCAGTAATGCGGTGTTTATAATTCCTTTCTCTTTATGCTACAGATGTCTGGACTGCAAGCCTGCACCGTTCTGAGAGGGAGATGACTGGAGTGGCCAGCATTTATCTCCACGACAATGTCCATGAACAATTCCAAACAGCCAGTATCTCCTGCAGCTGGGCTCCTTTCAAACACAACCTGCCAGACGGAAAACCGGATTTCTGTATTTTTTTCAATAATCTTCATGACAGTGGGAATCCTATCAAACAGCCTTGCCATTGCCATTCTCATGAAGGCCTATCAGAGGTTTAGACAGAAGTCCAAAGCATCGTTTCTGCTTTTAGCCAGTGGCCTGGTAATCACAGACTTCTTCGGACATCTCATCAATGGAGCAATAGCTGTGTTTGTATATGCATCTAATAAGGATTGGATCCGCTTTGATCAATCAAATGTCCTGTGCAGTATTTTTGGTATCTGCATGGTATTCTCTGGCCTGTGCCCACTTTTTCTAGGCAGTGTGATGGCCATTGAGCGATGTATTGGAGTCACCAAACCCATATTTCATTCCACGAAAATTACATCCAAGCATGTGAAAATCGTGTTGAGTGGTGTGTGCTTGTTTGCCATTTTCATAGCTTTGTTGCCCATCCTTGGGCACCGAGACTATAAAATTCAAGCGTCAAGGACCTGGTGTTTCTACAACACTGAGCACGTTGAAGACTGGGAAGATAGATTTTATCTTCTGCTTTTTTCTTTTCTGGGGTTCTTAGCCCTTGGTGTTTCATTCTTGTGCAATGCCATCACAGGAATTATACTTTTAAGGGTTAAATTTAAGAGTCAGCAACACAGACAAGGGAGATCTCATCATTTAGAAATGGTCATCCAACTCCTGGCTATAATGTGTGTCTCCTGCATTTGCTGGAGTCCATTTCTGGTAAGAGTCTTAAGTTTTGGCAGTTTTTGCTTTTTTGAGTTTGTTCATATTCAATAGAGGTTGTTGTCTTTTTCAGCTATTGTTCTGGTAGTTCAATATTAGAGTTTACTCCTGCTCAATATGTTTTTGTCAGTACTCCACTCTGGCTTAGAATTAAGCCATATATGACACATATGGGTATTTTTTCCACACAAGCCCTAACTTGAAATAAGAGTGGTGTTAGACAGCTCTAACCATGATGTCACCTGCTTGTGGTATGATGTATTTTTAACTGAAACATATTTCCCGTATACTGAATATGATTAGTTTCTAAAATGTGAAAAAACAACCAACATTAGGATGGACCTCAGCAGGTTCTGTTAGAAAATCACACACACTTTTAATTTGTAGTTGTGCAGATTAGCTACTGAGTTCTTCTGAGCATGTAATAATCAGGTCTCGGCTTGCAGATTGGGGATGACTGGAGACAGTTGGATAGTTCCAGTGAACTATATGGGTAGTTGAAATGAGAAAACCACCTGGGAACTGTGCTGTTGGTGCAGAGAGGTCTGATTAAAGGAGAGCCAGAGATTTTTCTCTTTTCATTCCTTTTTGTTTTTTGAAAAAATTAATATGTGATAGCTTGGTAGATTTATTTGGAAGTGAAGGCCAACATTAAACAATTAACAACAAATACATCATTCATATTACCTTCCATATAGAAAACCAAAAAAAAAATCATACTCATGATAGATTTTACTTTCTGATGGAGACGTTTGACTTTACGATAGAAAGAGTGACAAGATGCTATGAAATAGAAAAATAAGTCCTTTTGTATCAGGTGCAAGTGACAGTAAAGATTGCTTTCATTCCTTTTCTATACAATGGCGAAGTGGACTAGCACCCAGATATAGTGATCCAGTTGATACAGGTGATAGAAAGGTAGACATGGGCAAAAGTAGAGATGACACCAGGGGTAGAGTTATAACTTACATGATAGAATGACGGTGGTTGTTACCAGGCCCCAAAAGTCACCTTTTCTAAAAATTGTTGCTAGTTTTAAGAAACAATCTAAATGATTTTGATACACATACAAGTTTATGCAAGTTGCTGCAGCAATTAGATTTTGTGCTAGAGTTGATTTTATAAAGGATGTCTACTTTTCTAATGCTTCTTTATGCTATTGCTTCATAATTAAAATTTATCTTCTTGTTTTAAATTGTTAAATCATTTAATTTTTTCCCCAGGTTGTTCTCCAAGGGGAGAATGAGGCTGTTAATGACAAGTGAATCTTTTGAGGTCTGCTTGTCCATTTAAGGGGCGTTCGGGAAACTCAAGCAAGGGTCTGCTCTGTGCTTGCGGTATAGTTGTTTAAATTCAGTAACAGGGATTGATTCTAAAATTTGGAAGCACTTCAGTGTTCATTTTTGAGGAATTTAATTTATATAACTTGATCAAGGGAATTTCCTGATAGGAATGTTTCTTCTTTTCCTAAGTTTTGAAATAAGCAAGTTTTTAAAAACAAAAAGTAAGTCTGAGTGAATTGATATTAATTTGATAGTTTTGAAAGGAATACAAAGAAAGTGAAGAAAAAAATCAGTGGCTAAACATGTTTGAAGACTTTTAAGATGAAAGTCACAGCTCTACAGGTCACCTTAAAAACACTCAGTATGATGAACCAAATGAAAAACAATTTGGACACCGGGGAGAATCATTTTCACTTTGGTTTGTATTTCTTTTGAGAAATAAGAGTGATAGATCACCCACCGTAGGGCTATGGAAGGAAGATTCTTGCCTTGAATATTTTGATTTATGTTTTTCTCTAATTTCCTTTTCTGAGTTTTTGGTTTCTTGTACTGTTAGAATACTCATTATAATCCAATTAATATTTTGAATTTATTTCCTAGCAGAAACATAGTTTATTTTTATGAAACATTTTCTGAGGTTTGCTTTGTTTTTGTAAATTATGGATCCCTTCTGATACCAGTGTATTAATACTTCCATAATACTTTTAAGTGTGAAAATTGTTTCTGTGTTAGATGCATAGTAGATATGCCACAGATACTCCTGGACAAATTTATCTTTTGGGTGTTTCAAACATTCTTTGTATTCCTGGTTTCTTTTGTGGAGACTTGAATCTTCATGGCAGTTTCTGACTAAAAGATTATTATTTTTATGGTTTGGATATAGTTACTGTAAGGATTAAGTTAAGGCTATCAGATAGGCATAAAGGGAATCTAAGTTAAAACAAAACAACAAAACACCAGACTTGAGAATACCAAAATATCACCCAACACTAATAGCTCAGTTAAACCTTTCTCCTTTTTCTCCTTAAGTGTCTAGGAGGATTTATATAGGTATTGAAGACTGAGCCATCCCTACTTTTAAAAATACTTATGAAACTCATAGATTCTAGACTCCCTTAGATGTCCTCTAATGGTGAAAACTTCTGGATTAGTCCCTGCTTTGCACTGTGTGCGTTTTCTCTATGATTGATGAGAATGAGTTGTTTGTTCTGCAACTTGAATGAACAATTGCCCACAGAGACCTGTGTCGAATGTCGTTTTCAAGTCTCAAGCTGGAACAAAGTTAAAGGGTGCTTACACTACAAAGAGGAAATGAGTAAGGTACAGATGATGTCTGTGCTTGATGTACTAGGGCAACACTTATTAATAGTGGTGTAAATTTCTAAAACTACTTCATTTACAGGTAATACAGAAAGGTATACTTATTAATGTTGATTTTTAGCCCATCTGGTACAAAGCTAAAATGATGATAGTGTTTGTTTAAGTCTTTCTATTTTTCAGACTTTTTTTTAAACCTAAAATTACTCCCCGAAAAAGAAAATAAAAAGAGTGGCAAACACAGAGTCCACATACATCCTTCCCCTCCCAGTTATCCTTACATTAGCATCTGGCTTTGTGCTGGAACATTTGTTGCAAATGATGAACCAATACAATGTATTATTATTAATTAAAGTCTACAGTATACATTAGGGTTCTTCCTTTGTGTTGTACATTCTGTGGATTTTGACAAATGTATAATGACATGTATTCACCATTATGGTGTTAAAAATAATAGTTCATTGCCCTAAAAATCTCATGTGACTTTTAAAGAATTTAATATATTTTATTTTTGCAAATGAGGAAAATGTGCTCCCTGCACTAACCCCTCAACCGTTGAGACTTAGAATTGTAGTGCAAGCATCAAATTTATTTAAGATATAATTTATTAATGACTTCCTTTTAAACTTGAACAATGCCTGGGTTTCACAGTTGTAAGTATGGCTAATTCATAGAAACTCATTTAATTATAATCCCAGGTGAAAATGGCAAGAAGAAACAATAAGTACTTGTGGGCTTATACTTTCACTTAGCAACAAGTTAATTCCAAAAGTCTTTGAGAGTCAAATAGCACTTATGAAGTGGTCTCTTATTTCTGGGGTGGAACTCTTCTTTCATAACTAAGTACTGAAGACATTCTCTTGATGTTTCTATTGGGAGGAGAAAAAGGACACTTGCCAGAACTTTCAAGTAACATTTTCTTAATATTTTCATCTGCCTTTATGTGTGGAATGTTTGCTTTTTTAATGTTCCATTTCTAGAATATGTAACTTTAAAAGGAAATTATTATTATTGCTAAGCATATTTCACCAAATTGGCAGAGCAATAAATACTTGTTGACTGGTTGACTGTAACTTAAGTAGTATGAATGTCAAGAGATTGGAAATGATTGACCAGAATGTGGATTCTGAGTTTTGTAGGTAAGAACTAAGCATATACTGAAACGAAATGGTAATTTTTAAACCAATTCTTACGTCAGCCACTATCGGCTTATTATGACACTACTAAACTTAAGCTATCTTTTACTAGAAGGCCACACATTTGTCCTACCATTCTTTTAGGATAGAGGATCATTTTGTATTGGGATAAGAGGTGCGAAGTACGTGAAGGGTAAAATGATTTCTTATGTGAGTTTACCCAGGAAATGTGTTCTCCGTGTAGAGTCTAAGTGGATTTTTCTGAGGTTGTTTCTCTTAGGCCAAGATTTCCAGTCAGTGTCGTTAAATATCATCTGGCTACCAAGGTCTTTGTCAGAAACAGATCAAAGAACTGATTGAACTCTGACTCAGGTTTACTAAAGGTATTGAGATTGTGGTGGCCAGTTCTTATGAGGGTTAATGTCAGGTGATGGAACAACAGACACAACGTCACAGAACATTCTGTTAAGTGAAGATTGTTTTTAAATGCTGACCTTTATTGTTATATTGTAGAGTTATAAAGTGAGAAACTTTTTATGTTGTCTTGAGAACTTTCCTTTGGATACATGTTTATATATTTTAATTGAAAAGAAAATGCAGAAAATGAACATACATGTACATAAAGGTTCATCAAAAATTTCCACTATCTTTAATTCTACTTTCCATGAAATTTTTGAAGCTCTCTTGTATTCATACTGTGTGTACATATATATTATATAGTATGTGTTTATGCACATATATAATGGTGTATATGTCTGTTTATATGTATATGTATAGATAAACAACTACACACACTCAGAGAAATACACACACAACTGTTAAATTATTCCTCAAATTAGAAAAATATCAATTAACCAATCCACCACTGGATCTGAATGCATCAAACAAGAGGGCTTTTGGGGGAAGAATCATTTAGCCTAGCTGTTAAGACATTCAAGTAGCACATGAGAGTACCTAGGTGTGATTGCTAGATCTGCCTCCTGATTCCAGTTTCCTGCTAATGGAGGCCCTGGGTGGCAGAGCTGATGGCTCAAGTAATTGAATTACTGCCACTCATTTGATAAACCTGGACTGTATTCTCAGTACCTGCCTTTGGACCCTGCCTAACCCCCAGCCATTGGTTATATTTAAGGGGAAAGGGTGAACCATCAGATGGGAGTGTGCTCACTTATGTTTTCTCTATTTCCTTCTCTTTTTAGAAGATTTTATTTGTTTTTTGAGAGGTGGAGTTACAGTCAGAGAGAGGGAGAGACAGAGAGAG